TTTTATCTTTACTTGTCAGCTAAATTTCAAAAGTTAAGAAAAGATTAAACTATTAACTATATATTAAAATTAAAAAATAAATTAAAAGATTACATTAACAATAATACCATTAACTATTTTTTTTATATATTATAATTATAAATTTTTAACAGGTCCAGACCACCCTAACAGGCTTAACAGGCTTTTTTGAAGGCCTAAACCTGGCCTGTTTAGTTAAACAAGCCTGAGCTGTTTTTTTTTAAGAAAACAGACCAGGCCAGATTAGGCCAAATGCAGGCCAGGCCAGGCTAAATACAGGTTAGGCTGTAGGTTCCTGACAAACCACCTGCTCTGTTTCCATCCCCAGGTGCAGGTACAGATACCTATCTGAATCTGTTCAGTGTCTTGAAGAACGGGAATGGTCTCAATCTAGTTAGTATAAAACAAAAGCCCCTATCGCTTGTTCCAGTCTTAAGTCATAAACATGACTAAAAGTAAAAATGAATACAAAGCTACGCACTCCTTTTAATAGTAGCACCTTTTTTGTATTTGTTTTTCAAGGGAAAAACAATTACAACTCAAAAGCCCAAGATGCAAAATTACCTGAATGAGAAACAAAACGTGTCCGTATAGAGCCCAGTAGTGTGTGGCCCAAAGAAAGATAAGGCCGTTTGAAAGGTTCATTTGAATAACATTGAGGGATTTTTTTTGGTTGAATAAGAACTTACTTTGATGGAAAATACAAGTCAAAAGAAAAGCCTGGAAGCTAACCAGCAGAGTACCCTAGAAAAAGTCTATCCTATCCTTCCTCACCACGACCGACCCTTGCAGAAGAGCTGGTGGTTAAGAATATAAAAATTTCCTACAAGATCATGAGCAAATTTCGCCGAGCCATACATTGAGGGCTTTCATTGAATCAATGAAAACATTTGTACGCAAAAAAAAAAATTCAATAAAAACATTGATTTTTCTACATTTCTTGTCCCAACAAAATTTAAGACCTTCTAAAATACCAAACTCAACAATAGTGTTGCCACCAAATATTACTTGACAATTCATAAGGTTGTGAATACAAATCCTATTATTTGATATAAGGACCATATTAGTAAGTAATATATAAGTATTTTGCACGCACTCTTTGAATTTGAAGGCATATTTTGATTTCGATAAGCTTTTGATATCTAACTTATCTAAATTTTTTTATATAAAGGAAACAGTAATGTTACATAGGGTCATATGGAAGCTTTTATGGTTTTTTTTTTCGTTTTAATAAAATCTCTTTATCCAGCTGCCAATTTTGTCTCGAATAATGTAACCATAGGTGGCAGATCCTCTATGATTAATAGGGCCATCAACATCTAATCAAACGAACCAAATTAATGTGGTATCCTCTAAGGTGATGCCCGCTTTATTTTTTGCATTTCATACAATCCAACCTTGTAAGAGTTAAAAGCAAACTATTCTTCCAGTTTTAAATATAAAGCTTATTTTGTAGTATAATTTATACTATAAAGAATATCTTATATTTAGGATCGGTAGTTTGAACTTTGAAGGGCTTGACCAACCTTTTGTGTTTTTTTTTTTTGGATACAAACGTTAGTGAACATTGTTATGTTGGATCTGATCCTTGATGATCCGGGGATAGGAGGCTTTGTACGGAATAAAGTTTGGGCTTGAGCCATTCTGTAATGACGTTGACCCATGGTGACAAAATTGGGCTCAAGCCCTAAGTGTCTCAGCATATTAGCAAATAACGATACTTCATCTTTGTTGAAGACTTTGATTTAATTCTTAGTATAAGATCTTATTTATTTTTTTTATATTACATCAATTATCTTGTTTCAAAGTATTCCTATTTTTTAGGTGTAACATTGTATTCCTACTTAATACGATTTTTTTTTTGAAAATTTATATGAATGAATGTCAATAGCCCAACAAATAAGGGGGTGTTTCAGCATACAATTTAAAATATGAAAAGTAAAAAATTACATTTTTTTTGCCAGAACAAACAATTACAATTAATTATTAACCAATATATATTTAATTTTTCATAAATTGCACAAAAATGAGATAACATTTAAGGTTTTTATTTGCAAAAAATTGTTAATACTGAATTACTAGCAAGAAGAAAATCTCTAATATCATATCCAACAATATACACACGTGTGGCACAGGCATAAGATAATCAAGAAGTGAAGTAGCAAATGAATTTATTCCATACATATCGGATTCTCGAGCTCTCAAGTCTCACCTCAACTTTAATATTTATTTTATTTTTTTTAGTTGAGTATCTATATGTGAATTTATTCTAAATTTAAATAATCCTGGACAGCTTACCTTGTTTCCTTGATATTTGTATATCTGAAAATCTTCTTAAAGTGTGAAAACTCGTATGTCATTTATTGAGTTCATTATGGCTTTCCCACATATCTAGTCTGTCTTGGCTCTATTAAAAATCACTACCATAAATGATATTCATCTCATTAGTGTTTATAATATTTGAAATATTTTTACGTATTCAATTGATATAACAAGATTTTGATGAGAAAATAATTAGGAAAGATATAAGAAATTTACATATATTTAATTTTTTGGAAAAATTAATCTTCCTGTCCTTACGGTTTCACCTGAATTTTAATAAGATCCTTATTTTTTTCCTTTTTGTCAAGTCCGTGTAATTTTATTTGTTTTTAATCAAGTTCATGTAATTCTTTTATTAGGTCTTTACAGTTACAACTAATTTTTAATCTGCTTCCATCTAGTGCTTTTTTATTAATCATCTGAAACTATAGTACCTGATAAAAAATAAGGTAAAACTATAAAGGCCTTATAAAAAGAAAAAAGCTATAGGACCTGATTAAAAATCAGGTGAAATTACAGAGACCTACAACCTAATTTTCTCTATATATCCCCCTCCCCATCTTAGTTCTTTTTTCTATCTGGAGAAGTCTACTGTACACTAATTCTTTTTTGGGAATATATGATAATCCTTAATTGGTGTCCTATCGTTTGAGTGCGGTTTTACCCTGCGATTAATAACCTTATATTATTAAATCGAATTTAATTATTGCACAATAATATTCACCAGAGTCAATATCTCTGACAAACATAAAAGTGCTCTTAATTCTATTAAGATTTTGCTAAAGTCAAAATCTGAATTATAATGCCTAGCAGTATAAACCGAGGAGGTACATATTTCACTCATAAATGGAGATTGAGATTTTATAACTTCCTAATCTTGGACTATATAATAAAAAAGTAACAAATCATTAAAAAGGGACAGTAAATTAATCGGATTTATTGCAATAAACCTAATATTTAGCAGTATAAATACCAAAATGTTGATCACCAATTCCAACATCGGTAAAATATTTTGCTTTTTTTTTTTCCTCCTTCAAACACGAAGAGAAAGTCCAGTTCAGGTCGCCAAAAGATCCCAATTGAGAAAATACCAAAGAAAAGGCATCTTCAAGTCACCTTCTCAAAGCGTCATTCTGGACTCTTCAAGAAAGCCAGTGAGCTTTGCACGCTCTGTGGTGTTGAAATCGCCATCATCGTTTTCTCTCCGGCCGACAAGGCCTTCTTCGGCCATCCGGAAGTGGAATCCATCGTCGATCGTTGTATCAGTCCAAACCCCACGTCGGAATCCGGCCCTCACCCTCTAGTGGAGGCTCGCCGGAATGCAAACGTCCGGGAGCTCAACATGCAGCTTACACAGCTTCTAGGGCAACTGGAAATGGAGAGGAAGCGAGGAGAAGAACTGGACCAGGTGAGGAAGGCGAGGCAGAGACAGTTCTGGTGGGAAAACCCTATTCAAGAATTAGGGTTTAATGAGTCCCCGTTTTGATGGGTATTAGTTTTGGTGCCAACTTGGGGTCGTTACTTTTTAGAAAATTAATTTGGTATATTTTAATTTTTAACAGATTTAGCAGTTTTACAGAGATAAAAGTCAGACGTTAAGGAGATGAAGCCACAATGGGGACTTGTTCAATTCCTACATAATATATCGTATAGTAAAAGTATTTGTTTATTTAATGAAAAAAATATTTGTATTTATTTCCCGCATTTACTTCGCAATTATTACCCGGCAGATCATTGATGCCACAAAAAAATAACATCCACTTCATGGCTTAGCAGGTCTTTTTTCTTTTTTAAGTGCTCTTGTGACGTTTTATTTCTTCAAACAAAAAATAATTCTATAGTTTTTTCAATGTTGTGGTGTATATATTTTTTAAATTAAGTTATGTGTTCATCATGAAGCTTGAATTATGATATATAGATGCATTGTCATTTCTCTACTTTTGGATAAAAATGTAAAGGTGTTTTAAAGGACATTATACCATCAAATAAGAAAATATTTATAATATTGATTTTTTACACACATTAAGATATGATAATAGATATTGTCAATTATCAATTTTTTATTTTTCAAACAAAAATATTAATTTTATTATTCCTAGAGATAAATTCACGCATACTCCTCCGTTCCAATATATACTACATTATATAAACAACTTCTTTTTATATAGAGCTGATCCTAAATATAAGCAATATATTTTTTTGTCTGAAATTTTAAATATTCTTTACACTTTTTTCCATTAAATATGTCTTTACACTACTTATTACACATTCTCTCTCACTTAGTCTCTTCATGAGTAAGAGTATATTTAAAAAATAAATTATATTTCTAACACGTTCATTGTTTTTAACTAATTTTAATCAATATTTTGATTTATGTAATTTGGTTAGTTGTTGCTTATGAGGAAGTATTAGTCACGAAGAGAGAGAGATATATCTAAAGCATTCATTTGTATTGTTAATACTTGCCATACACAAGTACTCTTTTTTAAGAACACAAACCAATGTACCTATTTATACAGATTTCCATGACACTTCAAACAACCTTACATTTAGCATAATTTACTCCTAGTCCCAGATGGGTCACTTATTCCTAAACACACAAGGGTAACTGATATTTATTTTGACTCACATTTCCAAGAGATCAGAGTTTAATCATGATACTAGAAACGACCCCTCTCAAATCGAAGATTGCAGCTGAGTTTAATAACCCTACCAGCAATCTTGTTCTTACAACAGAGTGGGATATCTGAGATCACCTTCTCCAAGCAAGCATTACAGTCTGGCCTAGACAAATCCGGCAAGCACTGAACAAGACCATAAACAGTTTCAGACTCGTCAGCTATTTTGCTTCCCACAGATAGCTTAAAGTTAGAGTCCGCAGAAGCAGCTTCGCTTTTCAGTCTCTGCATTAGATCATTAAGCGCACTTGTGAACTCTTTTTTGTCTGTTGCATTTTGTGGGTTGTTGAAACTATAGGCAAATTCAGGATCCAGGTATCCCAACAATGGACGACTTGCGTATTGAAAAGTGCAGAAGTCATAGTACCCAAATGCTTCTTTCTGATTTGGACATACCTTAGGGAGAAGGGTTTTGGCATAGTTGAGGCAATTCCAACAAGTTATCGGATTCACGTCTCCCCGGCACAGACCTCGTACGTGGACTATGTTGGGGGCTTGACCATACTCGGAACTGTAGAAGCCATTGTCAACAATGGTTTTGGGAGTGATTTTAGAAAGAAGAGTATTGAGGTTGGTTTCATAGGGACTTCGGTTTGGGTAGGCTTCTTTTTCCTGTGAAACACTTGTAAAAAGTGAAGTTAGGCTGGCCGGAGAGAACCGTAAGGTAAACTAAGAACAAAACCAGAGCTAAAGAAATGACAGACGTTGTCATCATTGGAAGATAATGAAATGTGATGAGATGAGATGCGAGTAAACTACAGGTATTAGTAAAAAAAAATCCTCAAGTTGCTTCTATAAGTCAACAAACTAATGAAAAATATTAGTTTAAGTGCTCATCGCAGCACTGATGTAAAATCTAGATCATTCAAAATTAGTTTTGATGGTTTAGATTTAAAATTTTTAACTAGTAAATTTTAAATAAATAAATTATTTTTTTATAAAAACTTACTGTTAAAGATATTATATTTATTTTGGATTATATACTTATTAAAAGGGAGATATTTTTTAAAAAAATAAAAATATCACGTATTATATCTTGACTGTTCATATTAAATTTAAATGGTTGAGATTCGATAAGTATTTGAACTAAAAAAATTGGTGTATGTGGTTCAGGTTTCTAGAAATACTAGTCATGCGCATTCTTATTGTCAGCTCAGTACTCATTACCTTTTGCATTATTTTATACGATACTGTAGTTAAATTGATGTACAGTTACTTACAGCACATATCATTATAAGCCAGCTATATGTCCACTCACATTTCTACATTATTGGAATATAAATGGCCACTATGTCTGCAGGGTCTCCATTATATTCCCATTATAGATGGGAATGTTTTATGCACGTCATTCGTGATGCACAATGGATAAAGGCCTCTTCTTATTTTCATTTTTAACATTGTTCTATGAATATTATGAAAATTTTAGGAGTTACAAATTGAAAGAGGAGTAAGTTGGACGAGCAAAGTATTGTTCGTCTGTATGTAACATAGTAATACAGATAGTACCTTTATATCTTAGGAGGGAACGAAATGCGCCACAAATGAAAGAAAAAATTAAAAATTATTTAGTTATTTGTAAAAAAATGGTGTTGGTATCATCTACATGAAAACTTTCACTATTAAACAAATCTCTCAACTAAATCTTATATTTAAGATAGAGCAGTATACATGACACAAGTCAAGGAAAACATGGGATTAGATCTCGGAAAACAATTATCAATTGCATGTGGTCAACGGTGTGCGCGCGCGCGCGCGTGCCGCTCATTATGGTAAACCATACATTGCGTCTTTAATTTCTTCCACTAATTAATCTGTATCATTTTTTTGGGCCAATTCCACAAATATACACTATCATCCATGTTCGTTTTGGCAAAATGCGTGCGTGGAACAAAGTAGTGGAATATCACAGCCGTCCAGTGAATTAAACCAATAAGATGCATCAATATCTTGTCACTCTGTATTTAAGAAAATGTACCAAACAAGCCAGCCATGGCTTCAGAGATCCATTATGGGGAAGGTATCTCAGAAGTAACAAGATATATATCCTGTGAACGAGATACTGCTAGCTCTATCCAAGCATCATCATGTGAACGAGAATATACTGTTTCAAGCATAAACAAATATGGCCTCAGTTGATTACTCCTTAATATTATGCTGGCTAACTAGGTGTTGGCCTTGAAGGTGATATTCAAATGCTCAGAAGTTGTGCAACTTCTATATTTGCTATACAGGATGTCGAGTTTCACTCAACATATCTCAATTTTTGCTGCATGGGTCACTATGATCACTACAAAATAATAGACTTTAGGCGACGACTTTCGGCGGTGACACCAAAAAGTCGCCGCTGAAACCAAGACTTTCAGCGGCGACAAAAGTGTCGCCGCCGAAAGTCGACTTTCAGCGGCGACTTTTCTAGTCGCCGCTGAAAGTTCGCCATTGAAACCAAGACTTTCAGCGGCGACTTTTTTTGTCGCCGCTGAAAGTATAATATAATAATATATATTCTATTTTACAATATTAATAAACAAATTGCCGAAAATGGACCTTCAGCGGTGACTTTTTTTGTCGCCGCCGAAAGTGGACCTTCAGCGGCGACTTTTTTGTCGCCTCCAAAAGTGGACTTTCAGCGGCGACTTTTTTTGTCGCCGCTGAAAGTATAATATAATAATATATATTTTATTTTACAATATTAATAAACAAATTGCTGAAAATAGACCTTCAGCGGCGACTTTTTTTGTCGCCGCTGAAAGTATAATATAATAATATATATTTTATTTTACAATATTAATAAACAAATTGCCGAAAATAGACCTTTAGCGGCGACTTTTTTTGTCGCCGCGGAAAGTGGACCTTCAGCGGTGACTTTTTTGTCGCCGCCAAAAGTGGACGTTCAGCGGCGACTTTTTTTGTCGCCGCTGAAAGTATAATATAATAATATATATTTTATTTTACAATATTAATAAACTGCCGAAAATGGACCTTTAGCGGCGACTTTTTTTGTCGCCGCCGAAAGTGGACCTTCAGCGGCGACTTTTTTTGTCGCCGCTGAAAGTATAATATAATAATATATATTTTATTTTACAATATTAATGAACAAATTGCCGAAAATGGACCTTCAGCGGTGACTTTTTTTGTCGCCGCCGAAAGTGGACCTTCAGCGGCGACTTTTTTTGTCGCCGCTGAAAGTATAATATAATAATATATATTTTATTTTATAATATTAATAAACAAATTCAATCTGGCTCAGCGGCAAGAAGGTTGGACACGAAGGGAGGCGGTCACGAGTTCGAACCTGGAAGAAGACACATTTAAGGTGAAAATATTTAGACGATGACGTGGCGAGGAGGAGTGACGTGGCAATGACGTGGAGGTGGCTAGTGATGATGTGGCAGTCGGCGGTGATGACGTGGCCGCCGATGGCGATGACGTGGAGGTCGACGGTGCTGACGTGGCGGCCGGAGACGATGACGTGGCACCGGCGGTGATGACGTGGCATTGGTAAAGCCAATTCTTCTTAGGCATTACTTTCAGCGGCGACTTTTGTCGCCGCTGAAAGTCAATTTTTTTGTAGTGGATTAAAGGTTTATATATACTTTGCAAGTTCCCCGGTTCATCTTCGTTATTTGCTGTAATTTAGAATTATGTTGTATTAAATCTTGTTATATATTGTTTTTCGTTGGCCACCAAAAAGACCTAATTGAATTAGAATTTCACTCCTGTTATATGCTCTGCCAGGCTACCATTTCAAAAACATGCTTATATTTTAGGCTTTTCATATTCTCAGATGTATTAAGCTTGAAAGGCGAGTTTTTATTTGGTTTTCATCAAGACAAATGCAATTATTTACTATATGCACCTTCTGCAAGTTATTATTTATTATTTTTCAGACCAACAACCTATGCATGTTCAAAAGTTCGAACAGTTAAGGGGAAATACTGAGAGAAACTTGACTTCTTTTGTGTGATGAAAACCTCTGGAGTATAACCGTTGAGACACATAGTTGAAGCTTTCTGATATTCATGCTTATACAACTTTGCGACCAAACCTATATACTTCTGATTGTCACATATTGGACCAAGGACAAAAGTCACACAAAACTAACACCTGAAAGCTCAAAAACTTACTGAAAAGGGTGATTAATCATCATAGAAGTGGACCCTCTCAAATCGAAGAGTGCAGCTGAATTTTATAACCCTACCACCAATCTTGTTCTCACAACAATCTGGGATTTTTGAGATAGCGTTCCCTAAGCAAGCGTCACAATCTCTCCTAGACAAATCCGGCGAACACTGGGCAAGACCATACACAATAGTTTCAGACTCATCACCTATTATTTTGTATCCCGCATGGAACTTAAAAGTAGAGTCTCCAGAAGCAGCTTTGCTTTTCAGACTTCGCATCAGATCATTAAGCGCAATTGTGTAATGTTCTGCGTCTTCTGCATCTTGTGGATTGTTAAAATTGTGCGAAAAATCAGGAAACCGATATATCCCCAACAAGGAACGACTTGAGTATTGAAAAGTGCAGATGTCATAGTATCCAAAAGCATCCTTCTAATATGGACACAGCTTTGGAAGAAGGGTTTTGGCATCGTTGAGGCATTTCCGGCAAGAAAATGGCTCCTCATCACCTCGGCAAAGCCCTTGTGCGTGAACTTTATCAGGGCTTTGGCCGAAGGAAGAACTGTAGAAGCCATAGTCAATTACTGTGTCGCGAGTGAAATTAGAAAGAAGAGCATTGAGGTTGGCGTAATAGGCACTTGGCTTTATGTAGGTTTCTTTGCCAAGTGAACAATTGTAATAAACGAAGCTGGGCTGGGCAGTGGAGAGAATGATAAGATGATGAAAGAAGAAAACTAGAGCCAAAGAAATGATACAAGAGGTTGCCATGATTGGAATGGAATGTGATGAGGGATATGACTGTGTACTTAATTTAGCAACGATAATAACATCCTCAACTTGTTTATGTAGTAGACAAGTCAACAAGTCAACAAGTCAATGGAAAAGATACAAATTTTAAGGTCAGATCAATAGTCACTAACTCTTGCATTATTATTATTTTTTTTCAATAATGTTGTTGATTTGACGTACAGCACATATCATTATGAGCCACTCAACTCAAGAATTTCCACGTTGGGTTTTATAAAGGGATCACATTCCGCATATTGATTGCTGATTTTAATATAGACTAGCTAGACTAATTTTGAACGGTCCAAATCAAACACTTTTTTTGTTTTAATAGTTATAGAATTTAAAATAAAGGTTAATGTTATTTTTAGTTCTTGAAATTTAACCTCATTTTAGTTTTGATTCCTAAAATTCGAAACAATTTAGTTTTGGTTCTTGAAACCTTGTTATGAAAGCCAAATATCATTAAGTGGACCAAACTGAAGTCAAATCTCAAGGACCGCGATTATTATTATTTTTATATCAAAAAGTTTAGATAAGTTGGGTCCCGAGAGCTCACCAGGGGGCCAGGCAGGCTTTCAGGTTCAGAGAGTGCTTACAGAGGTATTCACAGATTGCCCACCAACAAAGTTCTCATATCGGTAGCAAAATTTGAACTCATGATTTTGTGAGTTATGAGCCGACTCCTTGCCGATTAGACTAACTCAAGAACCAAAATTATTAATTTTAAATTTGAGAAACCAGATCAAATTTCCAAGACTAAAAATGGTATTAACACTTTAAAATAAATATAATGTTATATCTGACACTTTTTAAAAAAACTATGTTATTAAAAAATGACAGATTAGATTTTTAAATTCAAATTATTTAGATTAAATTTTAAATAATTTAGATTTCATTATAACAATGACCACCCGCACTAATTGTCATTGTAATGGGCGGCTATCAGAAACCATTAATTAAAGCCCACTAACAGGTTTCCTTCCGTATACCCATTATAGACGGCGACACTTTCGTCATCCGTGATGCACAACGCAAAAAAAAGACCCAAGGGTTCCGTTTTTGACGCCTGATATCTGATCATAAATAGCACTGAAGTCCCCCCCCCCCCCCCCAAAAAAAATTGTAAAAGCAACTAATAATATTATGAAATTTTTTAATAGTTACATAACTTTTCCTTACATTTGGTCACCCACTCGGACCACTCCCCCTTTTGAGCAAGAGGAAGCAGTGGATGATGAAAGGAGATAATTTTTCTTTTGATTTCCTCTTTGTACATAGATTTTCTGGTAGCAATATATTGATACAGTTTTCATTAAAAATGATCTTTTTAATAAACTCATCGAACTTTTTGTTTCTCTATCTAAATTATTTAAGTTAGGGATAAACTCAAAAAATATTATCAGTTTAAGATAGATTTAATGTTTTAACAGTCATTCCTTAGTAGTATTGAGAATTAGTTAAAAATGCCATATAATAAATACTAGAGGGAGTATAAAATGTTATGAATATAATAATATCTTTGTGGATGTCCATATATCTCCCATTATCTCCTATATCTCCTATAATCTCTAATATCTCTCATTATCTTTATATCCCACAATTATCTCATATTATTATGTAATTTGTAGATTCTATCAAAGAGTGTAAAGCTGTGTCTATAAATAGAAGCCATGTATAATATATTGAGCACTCTTAAATAGAATGAGAAATACTCCCTCTTGTTGATCCTCTCTTCCTCTGTATGAATCTTCTATATTTCTTCTTTATTTATAACACGTTATCAGCACGAGGCTCTAACCAAGGTGCGTATGATATACCTTTCTATCCTAGCATAATTTTAGAGCATCATCTCTATTATTTTTCTAAATATCCTTTACTCTGTTCAAATAAAAATATCTTGAGCATCATATGTATGGTGTTTCAGAGTATCCGCATTCCTATTTAATTTATCTAGGATAATCTAAGCCATTATATGGAATTAAAAGGATTATCTACTGTTGTTTTAAATATCGGGTTTCATGGCTATGATTGGAGATTTTTTTCCCCTCTATTTCTTATTGACTTAATGTCACTATTTCGATGGAACCCGAAGTTTCAATAGATACCAACAATATTCGTAAAGAGTTACCATCTAAAGTTAAATGGCCAGAAGCTATATAATTCTAAGTTTTCATCTCATTGTAATTAAATGGCCAAAAGTCATATAACTCTGATTTTCCATTCTTTTCAAATTAAATGGCTAAAAGCCATATGATTTTTATTTTTTATACTATAGTCAGAAGCTATACAACTTTGAGTTTTTATCTTATGGCTAGAAGCCATATATATATGGTTATTTCTCTATTTTTTTAAATGACTTGAAGTCATATATATTTGATATTTTATCTTATTAAATAACTAGAAGTATTTAGGTATAAATTTTCCATCTTATGGCTAGAAGCCGTATATATTTGATTACTGTTATCTTATTAAATGGATAGAAGCCATGTAATTTGAATTTTCTATTTTATGGCTAGAAGCCATATATATAATTTTGTTTTATCTTATTAAATGGCTAATTGCCATATAAATTTGATTTTCTATCTTACAGCCAGAAGCCATAGATATTTGAATTTTTTTATCTCATTAAAAGGCTAGAAGGCATATGATTTGTATTTTCTATTTTATGACCAGAAGCCATATATATTTAATTTTTCTTTATTTATATATATCATGTTGAACTTTCTATTTTATAGCCAGAAGCCATTTATATATATTTAATTTTCTATATCTTATTAAATAGTTCGCATTCATGTAATTTTGATTTTCTATCTTATGACTAGAAGTCATACATATTTAATTTTTTTATTTTATTAATTGGCTTGAAGCCATATAACATCAAAGTTTTATCTTATGGTCAGAAACCATCTTTATTTTTTTTTTTATTTTGAAATTAAATAGCTAGATGCCATGTATCTTTATTTTCTTTATTAAATGGTCTGAAGCCATATAGTTTTGATTATGAGAAGGATCATTATATGGTTTGTTTATAAAAAAAAATTATGACAATTAGAATTATAAATAATGTAACCTCGAAAACTAATGATTATATAGTGAAGGATGTATTGGTAAAAGAGTTTATCTTTTCTCTTTATTTCATGTTACATTTAATTAATTTAAAATTCAAGTTTTATTCTTATCTTATTCTCATATATTTTTGACATTCAATTTGATATTTATTAATATTATAATTTTCTATTACTAAATGGCCAGCAGCCATTACACTCATGTTATTGAATGGCATGAAAATAATAACTTATGATATTTATGGTTCAAATATCAAGGGATACAAATTATTTTTAAAATATATATATTTACTATATAGAGTCTTGAAGACTAATGACTTATAAATAGTCCTAAAAGCTTATGATTTAAATTTTCGTAACTATATAGTTTGCTTTTAGCTCTTGTAGATCTTTTCAAATTTTTGTTGAATTTATAAATTTATGAATAAGTTTTGAAGCATTACATAATATATATAAAGAAATAAAGTTTTTGAATAACGAAATATCGAGAAAATATATATATTTTGTCCCAAAAAAATACTTCATATTTTGAAAAAAGTATAACAAAAAGTGAAGTATATCATATAGTGAAATAATAACATATTTTAGTTCCTGAAGAACTATATATACCATTTTCTTTTTGAAGAACTATATGTAGTCAAAAAATTGATATAGTTCCAGAAGAACTATATATAGCTTTTTCTTTTTGACGAACTATATGTAGTCAAAAAATTGATATAGTTCCAGAAGAACTAATAACAAAATATTGATCTAGTTCCAGAAAAACTAATAGCAATATTGGTATAGTTCCTGAAGAACTAGTAACAAAATCGATATAGTTCTTGAATAACTAATGTAGCTCCCCCCATTATTTTTGTGGGCAGAAAAGAAATTGATAATAAAAAAATTATAACCCACAAACATTTATATTAGAATATTTGCTTATCAAAGGATCTTAAGGTGAGAGCTCAATTTGATTGAAATCTATTATTATATATGAATCAGAAAGTATTTGGATTTCCAAGTTAAAGATATGTTATTAGCTTACTATATATTACTCACTGTATTTGAAATACAGAAATAAGAAAAATATATTTATATGACTCATACTTGAGAGGGAGATTGTTAAAATACAAGTGTGAATCATGTTGGATAGAATTTGTTATTATTAATATTAATGTCATTCCTTATATCTCATGTTCCTTTTGAAAAAAAAAGCTCCAGAAGAGCTAGTAGCGCTCAACCTTCCATGAGTGCACAGGTTTTTACCATTTGGGTAAAAGATAAAAACTAATGCTCTAGAAGAGCTATGTCATAATTTATTATCCTGAAGATAAAATCCATAATTGATAACATATTTCTTATGGAATATTAAGGAGAAAAATAAATAGTATAACATGGTAACAAGAAGTTTACCAATAATTGAGAATAATTTTACAATAAACCAGAAGTTTATACATTCATAGTTTGGTCATGACCGGTTAGATCATCTCGGATCATAATGATACAAAATATCATAAAAAATGTGCATTGTCATTTGTTAAAGAACCAGAAGATTCTTTAAAAATGATATATGACTCAAGAATTTGTATATGTTGCTTGTTCTCAAAGAGAACATCACTAGCTGTGTTCAAAGTCAGATCCGTACAGATTTATAATGTATCAACTTTATATATGAGCCCATTTAGACACCATGTAGATCAAAGTAATACTATATAAGTGAAAGATGCATCTATAAAATGGTCACAAGTGTTTATAATCAACTTGCAACCTGAAGTTTGCAAATATGTTTAGATGATTATATGGAGTACATAAGTTCTTGATTATGAAATCAATATGATTCTCGTTGAGATTGCTAGTGATTGTTCCTCTTGTTGCTGATGATTATATACTTAGCAAAAGCCTCCATAAGTAGTTAGATCAGAGTTTATGAGA